CTTCCCCCTGCTCCCATCCCTCCCTGCCCTTGTCCCAAGCCCCTCCCCAGCTTTCCTGGAGCCCCTTCAGGCACTGGAAGCTGCTCTAAGGTCTCCCTGGAGCCTTCTCTTCTCCAGGCTCAACACCCCAATTCTCCCAGCCTGGCTCCAGAGCTGCTCCAGCCCTCCCAGCATCTCTGGGGCTCCTCTGGACTCACCCCACTATCTGAGCTCATCTAAGTAGAACAATTAGCAGCCTCTGTTCATTACAAATGAAGACAGCTGGGAACCATGGGATGCATTCACCACAACAGCCCTTTTCAGTGGTAAATAGTGGTCACAACCAGACACACACCAGCTAGAAAAGACCCACCGTGGTTTGGTCCACAGACAAAGTCTCAGACCAAGCAGCACACTGACCTACCTCAGTATGACATCAGCTTGGACTCCATACAGCTTCTGCTCCACTGCCTTCTGGAAGGACATCAGAGTGTTTTCTGGTGCCAACTATAGGGGGAAAAAAGAGCAATGAGGTTAGTAGTGAGTTAGCAGTGTCAGCACGGATGCTGGGAGGAAGGTTTTTAGGGAAAGGTTTTAGGGAGCAAAAATCATCTTGTTTCACAGATTGTGTCCAGTTCTGGGCCCCTCAGTTCAGGAAGGACAGGGAACTGCTTGAGAGAGCCCAGGGCAGAGCCACAGAGATGCTGGAGGGAGGGGAACATCTCCCTGCTGAGGAAAGGCTGAGGGAGCTGGGTCTGTTGGGCTTGGAGAAGAGGAGACTGAGGGGCCACCTCATCCCTGGTTACAAACACGTTCAGGGCAGTGTCAGGAGGAGGGAGCCAGGCTTTGTGCAGTGATGTCCAGTGACAGGACAAGGGGCACTGGGTGCAAACTGGAGCACAGGAGGTTCCATGTGAATCTCAGGAAGAACTTCTTTGCTGTGAGAGTGCTAACCCACCCCAGATGCCATTGGCCTTCTTGGCCACCAGGGCACATTGCTGCTCATGCTCATCCTCCTGCCCACCAGGACCCCCAGGTCCCTTTCTCCTCCCCTGCTCTCCAGCAGCTCAGCCCTCAACCTGCACTGGTCCATGGGCTTGTTCTTCCCCAGATGCAAGACTCTACACTTGTCCTTGTTGAATTTCATCAAGTATCTCCCTGCCCAACTCCATAGTCCACTCCTAAGTCCATAGACCAGGGAATTATCCATGGAAAACAACTGGACCACAGGTTGTGCAGCACACATTTTATTTCCACATCTACTCTTCCAACAACATGACCTGTTATTCAGTCTAAAAATCAGTTTATTTCTCTAATAAAAATGTTCCAGTGAGTTTAAACAATTATTTCAAAAAGCAACCTGAGCCCTAGGAAATGTATCCCTGTGGTTACCACAGATAAGGACCCAAATCTTATTTCCAAGTCCTTCCTGTTGAACAGAGCAGATGGTAACAATTCAGCCTTCAAAACAACACAGTGTGAAGACAAACACTTGGTTTTTCTACAAAACCAGCACAGTAGAACTACCCCCAAAATGTCCATAAACAAACAACAGACAGACCAGGATAAAATAATAAAAAGACAGCTATGGAAAAAAAAATATCTGGCAGGTTTTCTGCACTGAAAGCTATTTTAAAAAATCCATTTACTTATTTTCAGGTTTGGAGCAGCTGTAACATCCTGGTTTTGCCACTCAGCTCTGCCACCAGCACCACCAGGCTCAGAAAGTTTCCATCAAGGCACAAGGAACATTCCCAAGCCACAGTTTTCAGGAATTCCTCAAGGTTTGGAAAGAAGAAGCATGAGGAACAAAAGCCTCAAGGCAGCATCTCAGCAACGTGCACCAGAAATACAAAAAAGATAAACCAAAGCAACCAACAACCAAACATCTGCTCAAGTGTTAAAGTGTCTCTGGGAATAACTAGTTTTCTTATTAGCTGGTGACCTCACGTGTTCAGGTCAAGGCTTTGGGGTGAATAATCAGACAGCAGCAGCCTTCAAATAGCTCTGATATCTCTCTACTGGATTCCTCTGGCTCAAGCAACACAGCAATAATAGTTCTTTGTTCTTTTTGGTCCACAAAGGCTACACAGAGGCACGTTGTCATCCTAAAAAAGGTCCCCATCAAAGCCTGGCTTGTTCAGGAGAAGACAGAGGCCAAGACTCCCTCTTGCACAGCCCAGCTCTGGGTCACCCAAGGTCGAGCTGAAAGAGCTTGTTGAAATATATTCAGGATACCCAGAGCTGTCAGCAGGGAGCAGCAGCCACCCAAAGATCTAAAGATCCCAGCCAGGCAGAGCTGCTCCATCTTCTTGGGTTGCTTTCAGCATCTCAGGTTTTCCCCATGGAGTAGCTCAGGTTGCATCAGGGTAACACTGCCAGGTGCTCCTCTCCCCACAGGGTGATGCTCAATGTTGCCTTTCAGAGGCTGCAACAATCACAAGGAAATGAAGTGTGTGGGGTTCAGACTAGAAAGAGATGAGTGGTTGGACAGTGGAACAGGCTGCCCAGGGAGGTGGTGGAGTCACCATCCCTGGGAGTGTTTACAAGAAATGTAGATATAGTGCTTAGGGACATGATTGAAACACTAGTAAATCAGGTTATGGTAGGGGGAGTTATGGTTGGACTTGATGGTCTTCAAGGTTCCTTGGGTGCAAAGCAAGTCTCAGCTCAAGATGTCACACCATAACAAGCAGCAACTGGACCCTGAGCCCTGTAAGTGTTCTTACAGCTCACAGAATCATGGAATTGTCAGAGTGGGAAGGGACCTCTGGAGATCATCCAGTCCCACTCCCCTGCTAAAGCAGGATCACCCAGAGCACATCCCCCAGGGCTGCATCCAGGGGCTGGAATATCTGCAGAGACGGGGACTCCACACCCTCCCTGGGCAGCCTGTCCCAGGGCTCTGTCACCCTCCCAGGCAAGAAGTTTTCCCTCCTCTTTCAGTGGCACTTCCTATGTTCCAGCTTGTGCCCGTTGCCCCCCGTCCTGTCCCTGGGCACTGCTGAGCAGAGTCTGGCTCCATCCTCCTGCACCCCCCTGAGATACTGCCAGGCATTAAGAAGGTCTCCCCTCAGCCTTCTCTTCTCCAGGCTGAGCAGTCCCAGCTCTCCCAGCCTTTCTTCATCAGGGTGCTCTAACCCCCCAGTCATCTTTGTCATCCTCCCCTGGACTCTCCAGCAGTTCCCTGTCTCTCTTGAACTGGGGAGCCCAGAACTGGTCCCAGTTCTCCAGCTGTGGCCTGACCAGGGCAGAGCAGAGGGGCACAATGACCTCTCTTGACCTACTGGTCACACTCTTCCTCATGCAGCCCAAGATACAATTGGCCTGTACAGACAGACCCTGTACAGGATTTCTAGAAGCAGCTCTTTGTCTTCACACTTGCTTTGATAGGCTTGCAAAAAAAATCAGGCTGCTTCTTCCTTCTACAGAGACACAGCAAGTAATTTCCAGAAAATTAACCATGGAAGAAGTAATTTGAAATATTTTTCTGCTTAGAAGACAATTGCAAATGCTTTCAAATTCAGACAAGACCTTTGGACCTTCTATAGAAAAGATTCTGAAAGTCTGCAGTTGGAGCAGAGCAGCCTTGCTATGATTGGACATCATCACAATGTGTTTTGTCCCTAATGAACCACATTGTCAGGCCTTAAACAAGGAAAATCAATCACTGCATAATTGTACGTTGGGGAGGGAAACAAAGGAGCTTGCACAGAGGAACCAAATTTGTTCCCAAGAGTCACTCAAGCACTGCACACATCTGGCTCTGTGCTCTGAGCTCCACCCCAGGATTGGGTCTTTGCTCCATGGACAAGATTCAAGGCTCTTATCTCATCCTTATAGAAAGAGCAACAGTATTTTAATTGTTTTTGAATTTTCCCCACCTTGGAGGTCCCTTCCAGCACCAGTTTCCACACAAGCCAATGATTGGACTAAAAGCACAGAGAATCATGGAATCATTTGTGTTGGAAAAGCCCTTGGAGATCACCACATCCAACCCTTCCCCCAGCCCTGCCAAGGCCACCCCTGCCCCGTGTCCCTCAGCACCATCTCCAGGGCTTGGAAAACCCTCCAGGGATGGGGACTCCCCCCCTGCCCTGGGCAGCCTGGGCCAGGCCCTGACAACCCTTGCCAGGGAGAAATTGTTCCCCAGATCCAACCTCAACCTCCCCTGGCACAACTTGAGGTCGTTCCCTCTTGTCCTGTCGCTTGTTCCTGGGGAGCAGAGCCCGACCCCCCTGGCTCCAACCTCCTCTCAGCAGCTGCAGAGCCAGCAGGTCTCCCCTCAGCCTCCTTTGCTCCAGGCTGGACACCCCCAGCTCCCTCAGCTGCTCCTCACAAGTTCTCCAGCCCCTTCTCCTTCTGCTCCAGCCCCTTCCCCAGCTCTCTTGCCCTTCTCTCAGCAGCTGCAGAGCCAGCAGGTCTCCCCTCAGTCACCTCTTAGCCCCATGTATCATCTCCCCAACACATCCATTATTTCAGGACAAGAGGCATCTTCAGCTATCCCATGGATGCTCTTTGGTGGCTCTTGCCAGAGGAGCCCTCAGCTGTGTCCTCCTCCAAGCACAGATGCTCCATGACAGACCCAGTCCTGCCCAACTGGTGCAGCAACCAGCTCCCAGCTCCCACTTGTCCTGCTCCAGGAGACCTGAAGGCAAATATTCTATTTCTTTTCACTACCTCCACTCCCACTAGATCCAGTTTCACCCCAGGGCCTAAACTCCCAGACTCTGCAAAGACTTTTGATCTTGACATTGCCCAAGGGGGGACATCTGTGTCCTACAATCCATTTTCCAGACTCTTCTCTGGGCTTTTTCTTCCTCCCCAGCTCCCCTTGGCCATTTCTCCAGACTCAATCTACATGCAGTTGGGTTCAACAGCAAAAGTGGACCAAGACCCCATGAGCAGAAATCCCTCTGCCAAGGCTTAACAATAATTGATTGCCAAGCAGATGGGACTTAGCACAACATGAGGACTTGCACTGCTCTTCAAACTCAAGGTGACAACTGGTACAATGAAAGGCTGGGCATAGATAGTACAGAAGGAAGGTTGGAACACTTCTCTGGTCTTCATTTATGTTCTCCCATCTCAGCTGGACATGAAAAAGCATTGATCATGCTCAGAGCTTCATTGCACCACCCACAGAAGGAAAACAGAAGCAATGCAAATTATCCTGGAGTTTCCAGGGGTTACTTAAGAGAGTAAAATGGGTTAAAATCAAGAGAACTAAAAGAAAACACTTCTGTGTCATCATGGGTGTTTCTCTCACCTAGGAAACTCCCAGTGCATACTCTTGGGCTTGGAGAGGAGCTTTGGGTGTCAGTAAAAGAGTGAGTTGGATACCTTAAAAAAGCCCCAACCATTCACAAGACCAGAGCAGTGCACCTTCTTGTCTGAGGTCTCTCAACCAACAGAGAGAGATGGAGGTACAACCACCTAGGGACCCAGACACCACAGGACAGTGTCATTCCAGCCCAGGGCTCTGCCCAAGCCAACATGTTCCATCTTTAGAAAGCTTGGAGAAGAAAGGACAGGACAATTATGATTTCAAGGTCTACCCAGAGGCAGATGACAGGAATATTTCATCACCTCACCCAGCCTCAGGATGACCTGCAATGCAAGAGCACTGGGAGGTCATGGAGGGTCAGGCACAGCTTGGGTTTGGTTGGTTGGTTGGTTTTCCAGGTTGCCACATACTCCAGGCACCCTGCTGGGAGCTGAGTTCAACCACTGAGGCCCTGCAAAGGCCACAAAGACTGAGCCTCCAATTTTACCAATATCACCAACTTCTGCTGCTTGAGGACCAAGCCCAGAGAGCAAAAACCTGCCAGAAAAAAATCCAATGGCACAAAGAACCCCAAGGAAGGCAAGGACTGCCCTTCTGTTTGGGAGGCATTTAGAACACCTGGGGGGTGCCTCAACTCTGGGTTCATGTGCTGAGTTACCACCACACCAAATCCAACCAGGAAAGGGGCTTCCAAATGACATGTGCCACATACATCCTCTGGAGCCCATCAGATCTGGTACCATCCTTCATGGAGGCAGAAGAGTCAGTCAACTCAGTGCCAAAATTGTGAGGTTACTCACCATTGGTGCTCCACGGTGACCTATGATGGCTGGTTTTGGTCCCAGGGCCTTCTTCTCCATTATGCAAGGGGATGAGATGGTGAGGGGGACGAGGTAAAGTGCAACTACAACTGCCAGGTATGCAGTGAACATCAGCATCTGAGAAGCTGAGATGGAAAGAGAGAGAAAGAGCTGGTGAAGACCTTGGTCCCAACCTCCTCCCACCACAGGAGCAAAGTCAAGACAACTGATGTCCCCCAAAGAGACTGGTCTACACCCATTGCCCCTGGTGCAACAGCAGAGCTCTGTGTCTTGGGAAAAGAATATTCTATTTTTTAAAAAAACCAACAGTATCTTGTTGAGTGAATAAAGTCCTAGGGGAGGTTTTCACTTCATTTTGTATTGAGGAAACAAAACCTTGAGTAAATTGCTTCAAGTCTCAGCAATGCAGCCCAAAACACTGCTGGTCTGCAGCCCTTTGGCTGGGACAGCACCAAAATCTGCCCTGTCTGACAGCAGAAATACATCAGTGAAACAGATCTACAAATGAAGAGCAACATGTCCACAACAGGAGGAAGAACTTCTTTGCTGTGAGGGTGACAGAGTCCTGGGCCAGGCTGCCCAGAGAGGCTGTGGAGTCTCCTTCTCTGGAGACATTCCAACCCCCCTGGCCACGTTCCTGTGTGATGTGCTCTGGGTGCCCCTGCTCTGGCAGGGGGGTTGGGCTGGGGGAGCTTTCCAGGTCCCTTCCAACCCCTAAGGTTCTGTGATTCTGTGAAACATGTCACAGCACAATGTGGGTGCATTTCATATCACTTGGGTTTACCTTGGTCTACAGGAAAGCTGGAGGGGGACTTTTCACAAGGGCATGGAGTGATAGGATGAGGGGACATGGTTGGAAAAGGGGAGAATTAGGTTGGACATCAGGAAGAAATTCTGTGCTGTGAGGCTGGGGAGAGCCTGGCCCAGGTTGGCCAGGGAAGCTGTGGCTGCCCCATCCCTGGGGGTGTTGAAGGGCAGGTTGGATGGGGCTTGGAGCAGCCTGGGCTGCTGGGAGGTGTCCCTGCCCATGCAGGGGGGTTGGAACTAGATGATCTTTAAGGTCCCTTTCAGCCCAAACCACTCTATGATTCTACCTCCATGGTTCACTAACACCAGCCCAGCCACAGTAACACCACTTTAACAGCTTCTGCATGAAGATCTGGGCCACCCAGAACTCAGCTAATTTGCAATCATGTTCTACTGATGAAGCTGGACATGTTTAAATAAATCTTAGGGTCTTGATGGTGCTTCATGGCCCAAACAACTGTCTCATGAGATCAGCAAATGCAGCAATGATGGGCTTGACTGCAATTCCTGGGGCCAGATGAGCAGCCCTCCCTCCCAGGCTGTGCCTCAAACACCCACCCCCAGCTACCAGTGACTTCTCACAAGGTCCAGAGTCTCTGGGAAACTTTCAAAGGTGCTGACAGCACAACAGAAACCCCCCTTGGACCCAACAGACATTTATTCCTTATAAAGAACAACAGGCAGCTTTGAAATCCTGAGTTCTGTGGAGCGACTTGAAACCACAGATATTAAACACAAAATACTTTCTCCCCCTTTTAAATTGTTATTTATTTTACAAACTCTTTTAGGCTTTGGAACCTCCCAAAAAATGCCTTTAAAAGAAATATTGGCAATGGACACAAGATGGAGAAGGTGGGAAGGACAGAACAGCCCAGCTCTGGTCCTGACCAGAACTGATCTGTTTTCAGCTGCTTTTTTTGCTTCCAGCATCTAAAAACCTCATTCAAACATGCTCCCACAAGCCAGAAAGTAACACTGGAACTTTGCCAGCTAATTTTTCCTTCTCTCTGGAAGAGATGTCAGCTCCCCAGAGAGCACTCAAGGAACTGAAGGGCATCCTGATCAGTGACCTCCCCTGCACCACAAAGGTGTGGTGGCCTGGAGTTGTGTGTCACCAGCATCACAACCTCCAGGTGGACACAGGACATGATCCTGATCCAATTCTTGTTCATCCCAGGAACACCAAGGTCCTGAAACTGGGCAGAGACAATCCTCATTATCAATCCAGGTTGAGGGATGATGGGACCAAGAGCAGCCCTGCAGAAAGGGACCTGGGGGTTCTGGTGGATGAAATGTTGGACATGGACAAACAATGTGAACCTGCAGCCCAGAGGCCAAACACATCCTGGGCTGCATCACAAGAAGTGTGGCCAGCAGGGCCAGGGAGGGGATTCTGCCCCTCTGCTCTGCTGAGACCCCCCTGGAGTGTTGTGTCCAGCTCTGGAGCCCTCAGCACAGGAGAGACATGGAGCTGTTGGAGAGGGGCCAGAGAAGGGCCCTGGAGATGCTGGGAGGGCTGGAGCAGCTCTGCTCTGGAGCCAGGCTGGGAGAGTTGGGGTGTTCAGCCTGGAGAAGAGAAGGCTCCAGGGAGACCTGAGAGCAGCTTCCAGTGCCTGAAGGGGCTCCAGGAAAGCTGGGGAGGGTCTCTGGATAAAGGCTTGTAGTGAAAGGACAAGGGGGAATGGATTAAAACTGGAAGAGGGGAGATTCATGTTGGATATCAGGAAGAAGTTCTTCCCACTGAGGGTGGTGAAGCTCTGGAACAGGCTGCCCAGAGAGGTGGTGGAGGCCCCATCCCTGGAGACATTCAAGGTCAGGTTTGATGGGGCTCTGAGCAACATGATCTAGTCACAAACACCCCTGTGCACTGCAGGGGGGGCTGGACTAGATGACCTTCCAAGGTCCCTTCCAACCAGGCTTTGAAAATCAGCCTAATTGTCAGCAAAGTCACAGGCTGTGCAGAGAATCTGGTCCCTTCCTTCCTGGTGCTGCAGTTCAGGATGAAAGAGCTCAGGTTCAGGCTGAAGCCACATGAAATGCATATGGGCTTCCAACCATTTTGACCATCAGACTGCACCCACCAGGAAGGGATGCCCCAGAATGGGTCACTGACCATGGTACAATAGAGCTGAAGGCTTCATCCAACCATGCACACGTGGGAATTGAGGCCACACACAAAAACCATGACATGAAACAGAAGCAAAGTATCCACTGTTCATTTGGAGGTTGGATGGTCTGTGTGGAAGAAGCTCCAGTGGAGACTATCCAAGACAAGTCAGCAGGACATGTAAGTCTCCCACTTGCTGCAACATGGCAACTCTAATGTCAATTTAGGATCAGGCTCATATTGATATTCTATATGAAAGTCCCTTCTCCAGGACTTGCAATATGTACTTTATATACCAGGAAAAGAATATCTCCTGAAACTCTTGGGCCAGGAGGCCACATCACAACCCCTACAATTTGTTAATGTCCTTTGTCTGTCCTGCAAAGGGTGAAGCTTTCCTTTCTCATTCCTCTTGCTGTTGATGACCACACCAGCTTGGGTTGGGCCCCTAGGAGAGCACATTCCTCACACTTCCATTTCCCACTCAAAGCTTCCAGGGTCACCTTGAGCTCAAGATGCCTTTGAGTTTAATAAGTTATAAGTTGAGTTAGAAGGAAGAATTCTTTTTGACCATGAGAGTGGTGAGACCCTGGCCCAGGTTATCCAGAGGGGTGGGAGATGTCCCATCCCTGGAAACATTCAAGATCAGGCTGGATGGGGCTCTGAGCAACCTGATCTAGTTGGAGATGTCCCTGCTCCCTGCAGGGGGGTTGGACTGGATGAGCTTTAAAGGTCCCTTCCAACCCAAACTGTTCCATGATTCTAACTGACCTCAGCAATCAAGCTCTGAAAACAGGCCATTATCTTTCCATGCAGCTGTTCAAGAAACATCTGTTCTGCAGCTTCAGTCAAACTAGCACAGAGGGAACAACAGAAAAAACAACATAGAAATTAGCCCAGAAAAAAAGCCAGTCACAGCATCACAGAATCTGAGGGGTTGGAAGGGACCTGGAAAGCTCCCCCAGCCCAACCCCCCTGCCAGAGCAGGGGCACCCAGAGCACATCACACAGGAACGTGGCCAGGGGGGTTGGAATGTCTCCAGAGAAGGAGACTCCACAGCCTCTCTGGGCAGCCTGGCCCAGGGCTCTGTCACTCTCACAGCAAAGTTCTTCCTGAGATTCACATGGAACCTCCTGGGCTCCAGTTTGCACCCACTGCCCCTTGTCCTGTCACTGGACATCACTGAGAACTGGCACGTGCCTCAAAAACCATGCCAAGAACAGACTCTTCCACCAATGACTGCAGCTGCACCAGGCTTTTTTTTCCCTAAAAGATTGTTATTGAGTGAAATTTTCTTTTCCCTTGGCAAGTGACTGTAGCTTTTCTCAGAGGTTTCAGTTCTTCTTTTCCACTTTTAACACCTCAAGCACATCTGCCCCAAAAAGCTTTTCAACTTCTCCAGGTAAGACACGTTTCCCTGGTAAAATGACCCTGAAAGAACTTTTAATGGTAGAGAAGAGGGTGGGGTTTTTTTTCTTAAAAACAAACAAACAAACAAAAATAGCCCCACCCAGGAGCAGAAAAGAGAAGGAAAAGAGGTTCCTGGCTTATTAAAAATAAACAAAATAAGCCATTTTCTGGGAACTCAGCTGAGAGAGAAGTATGAGGAGTTCAAAAGGAGCATGTGCAGTCTCACTGTAAATCCTCCCTCCACTGGCAGCCTAATTACATGCCAGGATATATTTAAGAAGAACCAGGTACAGCTTTATTGGCATATTTATAAATGAAGGCAGGGCAATTATTTCTTTGAAAGGTCTCCCTGGATATCAGAATCTTTCCATCTTCAGACACTGTTCCCTCATTCTTAACTCCCACTTCTTGGAAGCCTTTTGCAAGTGCTGCCAAATCCTTCCAGGGCTTGTTTTTTTGCTGCAGGTTAAATAGCAATTAAAAATAATGTTGCTGGAGTTGGCACAGAAGTCTGAGAACATCCACAGACACCCTGAAGAAAAACACTTCTAAGGGCAGAGAAAGATCCAATTGTTTCACAAGGAAACCTGGAGGAGCAGCTCAGGGTTGGGAGAGCACCTGGAAAGGAGGTGGGACAGGGGAGATGCACAGGAGAGCATCAAACCCAAGAGTTGGGTTCAGTGTGTCCTTCACCACTCTGTTCTCTTAGACCTCTGACCAGGTCTCAAAGTGTAGTTAAGGAAGCACCCAACCATCTGGGGAGCAGATCTCTGCTGAGCCCTCTGGGTGCTGCTGCATCACAAGCAACAAGCCCATGAAGGCACTCAAAAGCCACCCAGAAATGCAGGTGAGCAAGAGCCCAGGAGATGGAAGAAGGGAGAAGTGCTTAGAAGATCCAGAGAAGAACACCCTGCATTAGCTGCAGAGGGTGCATTGATGTTTTCTAAAGCAGGGTGATGGAAATCCAGATGCTCTCAGTCATTGCATCACTCAAAATAGCCTCTTCACCTCCAACCCTGCTGTGCTTTCTGACCTCAAATTGACAGCTCTGGGACCTGGGTGTCTCCTCAGAGCAGACTCACTCCAGTTTCAGCCAGGTGACTCTAGGAGAGCTTCCACCTCCCCAACGTGGCTGAGCTGGAAGCTGCTGAGCCCAGGGAAGCAACCAGCACTGCTGGTTCCCAATGGCAGGACCCAGTGTCCCACCAGCCACCCACCAGCCCCTGCAAGTCCCACCAGGCAAGGCCACCAGTTGGTACTCACTGGCTTTCTCTGTCCGTGCAAACTGCCCTGCCACCAACCAGGACAGGGCTGTGACTGCTGCCAGTGCTCCTATGTGCAGGAAAGGGGCTGTGGCCTGCAGGACACAAGGAAAGGAGAGGAAAACATGGTTAGAAACACCCCCAGAACCTTGTAAATGCACTGATCTGACGGGCTCTGTCGTGCATCAGGTCATTCTTTCCAGCTGGACTTCAACCCACCCCTATGTCAGGCTCCTGTGGCTGTTTTCACACTCTCTTCTTCCAAATCCTGCTGCTGCCTTTGGATCTAACCAAGTCCTTGGGAAATATTTGGGAAAAGGCCTCTTTAGACAACTTGAAAACTCAAGGAAGCTCTTGGTGCCACCAAGAGTTAAGATGCTTTTAGTCCAGTTAAACACGGATCAACAGCTTCATCTCCAGGTGGAGACCAGTGGTGCCCCTGAGGGTTCCATACTGGGACCAGTGCTTTGAAATATCTTCATCAAATACATGGACAGTGGGATTCAGTGCAGCCAGGAAAAGGGGTGATAGTTTTAAACCAAAAGAGGGGAGATTCAGGCTACATTAAAGGCATAAATGTTTTACACTGAGGGTGGTGAGACACAGGTTGCCCAGAGAAGCTGTGGATGATGCTCCATTCCTGGAATCACTCCAGGGCAGGTTGGATGCACCTCTGAACAACCTGATCTAGTTGAAGATGCCCCTGCTCACTGCAGGGGGGTGAGACTGGAGGAGCTTTAAAGATCCCTAAGGTCCCTTTTAATCCAAACCACCCCATGATTCTATGAACACCCTGGACTGGGATCACCACAATTATCAGCACGAGAGAAAGTTTGAGCTGAATCCCCTGACTCATCCTTCTGTTCTCCAATTGTCTGCCTAAACCTTTAAAAAACAAAAGAGAAGCACTTCTGGGAAATGTTAGTCACTCGTGTCACTGCTGCTCCTCCCCCACCTCATGCTTTTGTATATTTGCATACAATATTTGGAGCCCTTTTTGAGGCAGCAGGAAAGAAAATGAACATTTTGTAACTCTTTTTCTTCTAACATTCCCACAGCCCTGCAGCTTTCCACAAGTCCTGCTTAAAACAGGACTAGAGCACAGGCATTGCATTCTTCTTTCAGATATATCTATATCTATATATCTATAAATTTATGTGCAATACAAAAATAAACCCAGGGTACTCCTCCCATAGGACTGGGAAAACCACGATGCTCCAGACCTGGCCACCACCATCCAGAGCATTCTGTGCCAAACCAAGAGGAGGAACTGCCCTCCCACTCCAACAGCTCTTTGAGTCCCACCCAGCCTCAGGATTTTCCACCTCTGACTCTGCAGCCAAGATCTGGTTTGAGTTTAGAAGCAAGAGCCCAGTTCAAGAGAGACAGGGAACTGCTGGAGAGAGTCCAGGGGAGGGTGAAAAAGATAACTGGGGGGTTGGAGCATCTCCCTGATGAGGAAAGGCTGGGAGAGCTGGGACTGCTCAGCCTGGAGAAGAGAAGGCTGAGGGGAGACCTTCTTAATGCCTGGCAGTATCTCAGGGGGGTGCAGGAGGATGGAGCCAGACTCTACTCAGCAGTGCCCCGGGACAGGACGGGGGGCAACGGGCACAAGCTGGAACATGGGAAGTGCCACTGAAAGAGGAGGGAAAACTTCTTGCCTGGGAGGGTGACAGAGCCCTGGGACAGGCTGCCCAGGGAGGGTGTGGAGTCCCCTTCTCTGCAGATATTCCAGCCCCTGGATGCAGCCCTGGGTGATGTGCTCTGGGTGATCCTGCTTTAGCAGGGGAGTGGGACTGGATGATCTCCAGAGGTCCCTTCCCACCCTGACAATTCCATGATTCCCTGATGGAGACTAAGTGATGTAGTGGCCTTGAGCACTCCATGGGTGCTTTGCTAGAAATGTTCACATTGCCATGATTCCCATATGGAGAGAGACAACCATGATTTATACAGCAAAATGACCACAAAGCCCATGAGGTGTAGCTGCACTGGTCCCTTCCCCCAGCCAGAGAAGCCTCCTTGCCAACAACTTACCTGCAGTGATATAAATACCACCTCCCACTCGTCGTCCCAGAGCTGTGCTATTGATGACATGGTCACCACTGTAGTTATCAAGGTGGTCATCAGGCCAATCTGCAACAAATATGAGGGTATTGACACACTGGAGCCTTTGTATCTTTGCCACAGCATCTTCACAGGTTGGGAAAGGGAGAGAAGGGAAGTTTTGGATGTCATAAAAAACCTAACAGAACTGGCCTTAGGACCCACATGGAAAGAGGTTGGGCTTGTGTGCTGTCCCAGCACAATCTACCCTTTTTTACCTCTGGAGAAACAGCACTGAGCTAAATAGTCCCAGGAGGACACATCTCATGGGTGATCTCTCACTTCCCTCACACAGTGGTATGGAAAGATCAGGTGATATGTCCTGCCAACAAACTGGATCAGAAACAGCTTAAATACAGGTTGGATTCTGCTAAGCAACTTCAGGAGATGAATCTGGAGTCTCCTGGTCTTGTCACAATAGCCTGTGATGCACCAGTGCTATGGGAGGTTGGTGGACTTGACCCAACTTGACCCTCCAGTGTTTCTGTTCAGAGATAAGAACTTGAACACACCCCAGAGACAAACACCACACTTCTCACTAAAGGGTGAACACGTGTGCAAGCAAGACAGGGCATCCCCATCACCTGAGGATCATCTTGAGATGGTTCAAGCATAACTTGGTGTAGAGATGTGACTTCAACTGGGCCTGAAATGGCAACAGCTGTGTAGTCAGCACCCAAGCCTTGTTGACAGACCAGGGACAACAGACATTGCAGCTTGAGAAGAGGCTCTGGATGACACAGTAGCTGAACTGAGATGACAGAACAAGTCCTAGTCCATCAGACACCTCCCCTCAGCCTCCCCCTCCCTCCACGTGGAAGAGCTCAGAAGTCTGAGTCAAAAACATCACTTCCAATTTGAAGGGGGAAAGTTCAAATCATCCAAAACTGCCACAGAAATATTTCCAGCTGAAAAAATCTGGGCTGTGTGTCAAAAATAGGTCACCATCCTCCACCTCTCCTGTCTGGTGTCCCAGTCTGTGCTGGCCTGCAGGATCAGAGAGATGCTGCTGCTCTGTGTCTCCATCTCATGTCCTGTCTAGACCTGAAATTTCTGTGGGACACTTGGGCAGGAAAGGTCAACTGACACATAACAGTGAACTAATCATTCAGGATGCACAGGACATCTCTGGACCAATTTGGGATTTACTTAATACCTGAAACATGGAAGAAACCCC